CTCCTGCTGCGAGCCCATTCACTTTCACAAATCCGCCAGCTTTCGCAAGACAGCGTCCACTGGCGGAATTATTTAATGTCGATTCTTAACTCCAAACCCCGTCTTGAATGTAACACTGCCAGGACACGGACATACTACTTTCACATATCCGCTAGCCGGCGGAAATATTTAATATCCATTCTTAACTCCGCACCCGGTCTTGAATGTAACACTGCCAGGACACGGACATACTCCACCGAGGAAGGGCCGGCGAAGCAATCGTGTCGCCATAAACCAGCTCTTCTCGAAGCAACAAATACCGAAATCCCTCGCCCGCCTCCATGCCCGTCTCGCGCCTGACGAACGGAACGCCGTCCCCCCAAGGAAAAAGCTCCGGGAACGCCATCGCCCAGGTGGCCGGCTGAAACATGTTCATCGGTTCGTCACGAGAAGGTACCACGAGCTTTTGCGGCCGCACTTCAACCATCTGCTTCTGGGCTCGTCGCTCCTGCTCCACACCCTTGGCCATCGACTGCACCTTTTGAACACGGCGCAGCACTGCCCGCTCCTGCTGGCCCTCGCGCCCCAACAAGCCCACAGCATGCGGCCGATCCGGATCCACCTCGTTCTGCACCCGGCTGCGAAGGACGGATTCCGCATCCGTGTAATATTGCGGAGGCCTGCGACGACATAGTTCTTCTACATCGCTACACACTCGCAACCAGCGATTGCCGTCATCCGACTGATCGTTCAATCCAACGATGCTGGATACCAGATGGCCAGAATCCGAATCAGCACCTGAACTTCGCAAGACGGCGTCCTCCAAGTTGCTGGCGCCGGCAGCTGGACTTCGAAAGACAGCGTCCTCCGAACCGCCGGCGCCGCGACCAGGATCCGGATCAGCAACTGAACTTCGCAAGACAGCGTCCTCCAAGTTGCTGGCGCCGGCAGCTGGACTTCGCAAGACAGCGTCCTCCGAACTGCCGGCGCCACGGCCAGGATCCGGATCAGCAACTGAACTTCGCAAGACAGCGTCCTCCAAGTTGCTGACGCCGGCAGTTGGACTTCGCAAGACAGCGTCCTCCGAGCTGCCGGGGCCGCGATCCAGATTCTGTTCGTCTGGCTCGCCCTCCTCATCTTGGCCTTGCGCATCGGCCGGGCCCTTTTGCAAAAGTTCGCGGGCCAAGTAACTGTCAGCGGCCGTTTCCAAAACGCAGCCTTCCAGTGCGTCGACGTCGTCACCAGGAGTTAGGCCGGCCTCCAGCGCGACCGACCTGTAGTAAGGCGACGTCTCGCGCAGCTTCTCAACAGCGGCAACATACTCCTCTCTGGGAGCTTGCAAAAGCTTGCTGGACCGCAGTTCCTGCTTCTTCTGCCCAACCAAAACGAACAAGATGCTCTCGGCCATGTCTTGGTCTTTGGGAGGCAGAGTAGCCTGGATGGCGCTAGGCCCAGCCTGCGGCAGGAAGATCGTGTTACCGATGTATCCCTTCTGCCTCTCGTCTCGCGGCAGTGACAAAGGTTGCAAGACGGTCACCTGCATGCAAACCCGCACGATGGGAAGCAGCCGTTTTGTTCCAGCCGAGAGGTTGCTGAGCTCGGGCAATACGCGTCCGATCCAAAGGTCGTTGGCCAGCGCATGCCTGGGAAGCGTGAGAATACTGCTCTTCAAACTCCTGCGACAGTCTCTGCAAACCGTACAGGGGTCCGTGAAAGATGCCGGCATGCGGCGGCGATGCAGCAGCAGAAACTCGCCTTCAATGTACGGATGCTCCACAGCAGAGGCCTTCAGTTCGGAAAGAGCTATCTGCGGCCAGCGCTCCGCATACCGAGCGACGCCCAACAATCGGCAAAGACGGTGCTGCTGATTCGGGGCCAGCGTCTCGGCGCCGGCAGGTACCTCGATTGTCGACGCATCTTCATCCGGCCTCTGAAAGAGAACCATGGAAACAACTCGTTCATCCAGAAACGGCGAGCGCACACCACGCAGCCTCCTTCCGCTCGGCCACCGTCCATTTCAAGAGGGCATCGCAGCTCCTCGTCGAAATTGGCAGCGATTGCACGCTGACGACTCATCCCAGGCACCTGACTGTGATCGTTCCTAACACGTTATTACGCACGTCGACCCTTTACCGTAACCGAAAGCAAGAAGGCGCAGCATGCGACAAGAAGCCATCGGACCGGCATGCTCCACCATCGCCAGGATTTTCTTGCGGTATTCAACGAAGGCGAGCTCCACATCCAGCGGCCGCACGAGATGAGTGTCCACGACGTGTTGCTTCAGCTCCGATTGCTTCCGGCAACTGAAGTCGCATAAGCGGCAGCAACACCGTTCGCACGTCACCGAGGCATCGTCCGAAAAAGTCTGGAGCAGGCGACGAGCTACCGCCTCGCTTACGGCAGGTACGCTCCGAGAGCAATTCAGCAGCACAGCGACGCGATCCAGCTTCAAAGGCAACGACACCTCGGAGTCTCGCAAGATCCCGAGCGCTTGCCGCCCCGCCTCGTCCGCGTTCCGAAGCAAGTCTTCCACGGGCAAGAAACGTTGCTTCATACGCCTGCCCTCACACCACCCGGGGACGGCGAACAGCACTGCCCGCTCCACGGCCGAACGCCAGAGAATGCCGTCTAGCGCCTCCGAGCCATCACCAAGGCAGTCAAGTGCCAGCCAGCACAACGGATCGAAATCCGGCGGATAAGCCTTTCTCATGGCCCGGGCCCTCGCAGTGGCACCGTCAGGGTAGTACGCTTCAACACCCTTGGCCAGGACTGGATTCTCCTCTCGCGAAGGCAAACGGTAACACCCTTCAGTCGTCTGCCAGTCCAGAAGCTGATTCCGCAAGGTGAGCGTGTCTTTATCTATGCCTTGCTCGCTAGCCCTGGCTGCCGACACTGTGTTAGGATTGTGCAAGTCACGAATGCCGATGCCAGCCAGCGGGTGCAACAGCTCCGTCACCAAAAACCAAGCAAATTGCGACCAGTCTTCAGACTTCCGCACGTCCCCGAAGGTCTGGTACCAGTACAAAGGTTCGTCCGGCTGTGCTTGTCGCTCCCACCCATACCGACGCATCAGCCCCCGAAGCAGTGTGGTATCGGCCCGATCGAACTTGCGAGTGCGAAACTTGTGCTGGATAATGCTCAGGACAGCCTGCCAGGACCCGATGAAACAAACATGAGCGAGAAACGCACAGCAACGCGTGCGCACATGAAGCTACAGTCCAACTTAATCCTCATTATGTCCATGACCCCATGCACGATCACGTCCCAGACTCTCTATGTTTCGGGACGGCTTCGCGCGGGTTGCCTCCAACACCTCTTGGCGATCTTCGTACCCGTCCGTTGCACACGCTCGCGGCTCCGCCTCGAGGTTGGCCAGATACCAGAGCCGGCGAGCAACGTCCACGGGGTCCACTCGCTCGAGGCAATCTGCAAGACGCCACCAACCTGTTTCCCGAACTCACACGCACAACGCACGACAGCAACACGGCATCCAAGACATTACACGAAGATCGTGATTTGCGATAATGCTCGCCTGTCCGCTGATCCACGTGATCTTCCAACACGGCTGCAAGAAGACAATGCTGCATGGAAGAAGTCAGACACGGCACAGTCGCGTCTCTCAAGCCGGCAACAGCAACCTCCCACGTAGAACTCACTTCTCGAGACAGCGCCGTGTCGACCTGTGACCAATGCTGCAGACTGTCCAGAATCTTTTGCGCAAGTAGATCTCTCTCCGAATCGGAAGACAGATGTCTCGCGGAAAATGATTCTACCGTAATGTCCAACGAGTACGCAGCCGCGGATTGGCGCACGTTGGCATCCTCGAAGATGTCGCAAGCAGCTGCAACCACCGCTTCAGAATCCTGTGCTCCGGCTCTGCGAACCGCGTAGAGGGATCTCCACATTAGGTACTTGATGTCACCGTCTGCACTCGGAACGCGCAGGGGGCACAACGCCATGACAATCCGCTGAATCAAGACCTGCTTGCTCACGTCCTCATACGCCACACCCAGATCTTCGGCCACTCGCTGCATACAGGGTCCATCGGCCCGCAAGGGCAAGACCCGAAGCCGCGCCCGAATTCGAGGTGGTGCCTTTTCCCCGAGCTCTCCTGCCAAGCGCCGCAAGCCATCTGCCGTGAAGAGGTCCTCGATATTCACCTGTAAGCACTGAAACAAACAGACACACACACACACACACACACACACATGCACGCACACGCCCCCCTTCCCCCCGTCATACCTCCTCCTGGATGATGCCCCGCGACAAAGCTTCCAACAGATCCGCTTTGGAAAGCGTGTGCCCGGCGCGGTGTCGTCGCACACTCGCAACGACACAGAGCCCAACCAGCTCATCCCGACTCTGCTTCTCCAGCTCGGTGCGGAGCCAGGCTTCGCCCTGCTCGGCATAACCCGTGCGCAGTTCCTGCAGCTTTCGCTGCGAGGCCGCTTCATCGGCCTGACACCAAGAACTGCTTCACTGCAGAGCACTAAACATCCCACCCGACGACGACGCTGACAGATCACTGCAACCGAAGCTGACATGGACAATCCTAAAAAACGCCGCTTCCCCATGAAGCCTGCTCCCCGGCAATGCTCTGTGATAGAGCTTTCGACAACTCCGGCTTGGTAAGCGTGCACCCGGCACGGTGTCGTTGCAAACCCGCAGCGACACAGAGCCCAACCAGCTCCGCCCGACTCTGCTTCCCCAACTCGCCGCGGAGCCAGGCTTCGCCCTGCTCGGCATAACCCGTGCGCAGCTCGAGCAGCCTTTGCTGCGACGCCGCTTCATCGGCCTGACACCAAGAACTGCTTCATTGCAGAGCACTAAACATCCCACCCGACGACGACGCTGACAGCTCACTGCAACCGAAGCTGACATGGACAATCCTAAAAAACGCCGCTTCCCCATGAAGCCTGCTCCCCGGCAATGCTCTGTGATAGAGCTTTCGACAACTCCGGCTTGGTAAGCGTGCACCCGGCACGGTGTCGTTGCAAACCCGCAGCGACACAGAGCCCAACCAGCTCCGCCCGACTCTGCTTCCCCAACTCGCCGCGGAGCCAGGCTTCGCCCTGCTCGGCATAACCCGTGCGCAGCTCGAGCAGCCTTTGCTGCGACGCCGCTTCATCGGCCTGACACCAAGAACTGCTTCATTGCAGAGCACTAAACATCCCACCCGACGACGACGCTGACAGCTCACTGCAACCGAAGCTGACATGGACAATCCTAAAAGAACGCCGCTTCCCCATGAAGCCTGCTCCCCGGCAATGCTCTGTGATAGAGCTTCCAACAGCTCCGCTCTGGAGAGCTTGCGCCCGGCGGACTTCTGTCGCACCTCCGAAGCGACGCAGAGCTTAGCCAGCTCATCCCGACTCTGCTTCTCCAGCTCGGTGCGGAGCCAGGCTTCGCCCTGCTCGGCATAACCCGTGCGCAGCTCGAGCAGCCTTTGCTGCGACGCCGCTTCATCGGCCTAACACCAAGAACTGCTTCATTGCAGAGCACTAAGCATCCCACCCGACGACGACGCTGACAGCTCACTGCAACCGAAGCTGACATGGACAATCCTCAAGAACGCCGCTTCCCCATGAAGCCTGCTCCCCGGCAATGCTCTGTGATAGAGCTTCCAACAGCTCCGCTCTGGAGAGCTTGCGCCCGGCTGACTTCTGTCGCACCTCCGAAGCGACGCAGAGCTTAGCCAGCTCATCCCGACTCTGCTTCTCCAGCTCGGTGCGGAGCCAGGCTTCGCCCTGCTCGGCATAACCCGTGCGCAGTTCCTGCAGCTTTCGCTGCGAGGCCGCTTCATCGGCCTGACACCAAGAACTGCTTCACTGCAGAGCACTAAGCATCCCACCCGACGACGACGCTGACGGTTCACTGCAACCGAAGCTGACATGGACAATCCTCAAGAACGCCGCTTCCCCATGAAGCCTGCTCCCCGGCAATGCTCTTTGATAGAGCTTCCAACAGCTCCGCTCTGGTAAGCTTGTGCCCGGCAGACTTCTGTTGCACACCCGCAGCGACACAGAGCTTAGCCAGCTCATCCCGACTCTGCTTCCCCAGCTCGGTGCGGAGCCAGTCTTCGCCCTGCTGGGCATAATCGGCGCGGAACTTCTGCAACCGCGAATCCATGGGATGGAAGAAGGCGTCCACGCCGGCCCTTTCGCAAGACAGCGTCGAGGCAAGCAAAACACTGTCCCAAGTATGTTCAAATGCAAAAGTGTCTGCACCGACCCTTTCGCAAGACAGCGTCGAGGCGGGCAAACAACTGTCCTAAGTATGGTCAGCTGAGAAGATGAGAATAAGCTGAGAATAATCTCCACACCGGCCCTTTCGCAAGACAGCGTCAAGGCAGGCAAGGAAGCGTACTAGGTGTAGTAAGATGCTGCAATGTATGCAAAATACTGCAACGCGTTTTCCCTTTCTTCCCCTTCTTCTGCCTTTCGAGCCAAACGAGGCAGGCAAACGTGCAAGGAGAAAGCCTTTACAGAGCAGCAAGAAACTCCGAGCCTGCAGAAGTCATCGGCCAGGCAGCCTGCGAGTCGAACGTGTGCAAGGAGAAAGCCTCTACAAAGCAGGAGGAAGCTCCGAGCCTGCAGGTCATCGACCAGGCAGCCTGCGAGTCAAACGTGTGCAAGGAGAAAGCCTCTACAAAGCAGGAAGAAGCTCCGAGCCTGCAGGTCATCGACCAGGCAGCCTGCGAGTCAAACGTGTGCAAGGAGAAAGCCTCTACAAAGCAGGAAGAAGCTCCGAGCCTGCAGGTCATCGGCCAGGCAGCGGCGCGTTGCGCCGTCGCAAGACAGCGTACGCGCCGTACAGGCGCATGAATATATGTCTATCTATCTATCTATCTATATATCTATTATCTATCTATCTATCTATCTATATATGGATAGATACAAAGATATATATATATATATATGTGCGTATATTATCGATATATGCATCTGCCAATCCCTCTGAAGGGTTGCCAATTGCACCTCGCAGAGATGCAAGTTCCTGCAATCGACCACATATATATATATATATATATATATGTGCGTATATTATCGATATATGCATCTGCCAATCCCTCTGAAGGGTTGCCAATTGCACCTCGCAGAGATGCAAGTTCCTGCAATCGACCACATATATATATATATATATATATATGTGCGTATATTATCGATATATGCATCTGCCAATCCCTCTGAAGGGTTGCCAATTGCACCTCGCAGAGATGCAAGTTCCTGCAATCGACCACATATATATATATATATATATATATATATATGTGCGTATATTATCGATATATGCATCTGCCAATCCCTCTGAAGGGTTGCCAATTGCACCTCGCAGAGATGCAAGTTCCTGCAATCGACCACGCCACTCCCTGTGGAGAGTTGCACGGCGGAAAGGATACAAGTAGTAGTTTGCACACACGTTTCAACCCTGGACCACGCCAATCCATGCAGAGGGTTACACGCAGCGCCCAAAGACCATGCAACAGTACCTGCACACCTTCCGATTAGAACATTCGAGGAAGCTAATCCCTCTCAATGAAGGATTGCGCGGGGCACCGCAAAATGTGTAACTTTACCTTGCGTTCGACCACTCGACCACGCCAATCCCTGTGAGGGGTTGCAAAATTCATTTCAATGCTCATCAAAAATTGCAACTTTACCTCGCGTTCGAACACTCCACTACGCCAATCCCTGTGAAGGGTTGCAAAATTCATCTCAATGCTCATCAAAAATTGCAACTTTACCTCGCGTTCAACCACTCGACCACGCCAATCCCTGTGAGGGGTTGCAAAATTCATCTCAATGCTCATCAAAATTGCAACTTTACCTCGCGTTCGAACACTCCACCACGCCAATCCTTGTGAAGGGTTGCAAAATTCATTCTCAATGCTCATCAAAAATTGCAACTTTACCTCGCGTTCGAACACTCCACCACGCCAATCCTTGTGAAGGGTTGCAAAATTCATTTCAATGCAAATCAAAAAATGCAACTTTACCTCGCGTTCGAACACCCGACCACGCCAATCCCTGTGAAGGGTTGCAAAATGCAAATCCCTGTGAAGGGTTGCAAAAAAAATTGAACTGCACCCAAACCCTGTGAAAGGTTGCGCGGCGCCCGCAAGAAGTGTAACTTTACCTCGCGTTTGAACACCCGAGGAGGCGAATCCCTGTGAAGGGTTGCGCGGCGCCCGCAAGAAGTGTAACTTTACCTCGCGTTTGAACACCCGAGGAGGCGAATCCCTGTGAAGGGTTGCGCGGCGCCCGCAAGAAGTGTAACTTTACCTCGCGTTTGAACACCCGAGGCGGCGAATCCCTGTGAAGGGTTGCGCGGGAACCGCAAAATGTGTAACTTTACCTCGCGTTTGAACGCCCGAGGAGGCGAATCCCTGTGAAGGGTTGCGCGGGAACCCTAAAATGTGTAACTTTACCTAGCGTTTGGGCGCTCGAGAGTTCCAATCCCTGGGAAGGGTTGCGCCGGGCGCCTAAAATGTGTAACTTTACCTAGCGTTTGGGCGCTCGAGGAGGCGAATCCCTGGGAAGGGTTGCGCCGGGCGCCTAAAATGTGTAACTTTACCTAGCGTTTGGGCGCTCGAGGAGGCGAATCCCTGGGAAGGGTTGCGCGGTGCGCCTAAAATGTGTCACTTTACCTAGCGTTTGAACGCCCGAGGCAGCGAATCCCTGGGAAGGGTTGCGCGGTGCGCCTAAAAGGTGTCACTTTACCTAGCGTTTGAACGCCCGAGGCAGCGAATCCCTGGGAAGGGTTGCATTCCCGATGGACCCCGACGGTGCCACCCCCGCCAATATTAAGAAATATTAAGATACCGAGATGTAGAGAGTAAGTCATAAGTCATAGTAAGTAATAGATGCATAGAGAGTCAGTCATAAGTAAGTAAGTATAGTAAGTATAAGTAAGCAAGTCAAGTAAGGTAAGTCATAAGTCATAGTAAGTCATAGATGCATAGAGAGTCAGTCATAAGTAAGTAAGTATAGTAAGTAGTAAGTATAAGTAAGCAAGTCAAGTAAGTAAGTAAGTATAGAGATAGCATGTCCAGTGTCAAGTGTCAAGTGTCAAGTAAGTTAGTAAGTAGATTGAAGTAAGTAAGTAAGTAAGTAAGTCGTAAGCATAACATAGAGTCAAGTATCAAGTGTAGAGTCAAGTATCATAGAGTCAAGTGTCAAGTGTAGAGAGTCAGTCATAAGGGTCAAGTAAGTAAGTATCAAGTGTAGAGTCAAGTATCAAGTGTAGAGTGTAGAGTAAAGTATGGAATCAAGTGAGTTGATTCTATGTCTGTCATCTATGTACTCAGCTGCGGCGTTCCACACGGAAGAACCCTTCGCGATGCTTTCGGGAATGAAGCCCAGAGCATCCGAATACTGCACTGGCCGCGCAGACCCAAGCCCAGAGCATCCGAGTACTGCACTGGCCATACAGAATGAAGCCCAGAGCATCCGAGTATTGCAATGGCCACACAGGATGGAGCCCAGGGCACTCGAGTACTGCACCGGCCATGCACAACGAAGAGCATCCGAGTACAGCCCAGAGCATCCGAGTACTGCACTGGACACACAGAATGAAGCCCAAAGCATCCGAAGACTGCACTGGCCACACAGAATGAAGCCCAGACCATCCGAGTACCGCGCTGGCCACACAGAATGAAGCCCAGAGCATCCGAATACTGCACTGGCCGCGCAGAACCAAGCCCAGAGCATCCGAGTACTGCACTGGCCATAGAGAATGAAGCCCAGAGCATCCGAGTATTGCGATGACCACACAGAATGAAGCCCAGAGCATAAAGGTTGCACGCAGGGCTCTCGATAGGCACTCCTACCATACGAACGGGTTAAGGTGCCCTGAAATCTTAGGGTTGGAGGGATAGGAAAGGTGGGGTGGTACAGGCCTCCCAAAGCATGCAACTTTTTGAAAAAAAAAGCCCAGAGAGGGCTGTGGTGCCCTTAGCTGTGGGGCCCTTGGGTAAGGAAGCCCAGAGAGGGCTGGTGTGGCCCTGGCTAAGGAAGCCTACTATTAGCTATTGTAATTGACGAAATCGTGATTTCCTTAGGACTTCTCCATATAATTACGATTATCATTTCCCACATAATATTTGTTGAATATTGGAATATTTATGCGTGCTTATGTATGAGATTCATTCGCTTAAGGGCGCGAGATTAGGTGTTCTCGTGGGTGCAAGTGAAGCCAGAAATAGAGTGAAAGGCTTCTCCAGTGTGGTCTTGGGTAAGGAAGCCCAGAGAGGGCTGTGGTGCCCTTGGGCCCAGAGAGGGCTGTGGTGCCCTTGGGTACGGAAGCCCAGAGAGGGCTGTGGTGCCCTTCAGGAAGGAAGCCCAGAGAGGGCTGTGGTGCCCTTGGACCCAGAGAGGGCTGTGGCGCCCTTAGGAAAGGAAACCCAGAGAGGGCCGCTTGGGTAAGAAAGCCCAGAGAAAGCTGTGGTGGCCTTAGGCCCAGAGAGGGCTGTGGTGCCCTTGCGTAAGCAAGAGAGGGCCGTGGTGCCCTTGGGCCCAGAGAGCGTGGTGGTGCCCTTGGGGGAGGAAGCCCAGAGAGGGCTGTGGTGCCCTTGGGCCCAGAAAGGATTGTGGTGCCGTTGGGTAAAGAAGCCCAGAGAGGGCTGCTTGGGTAAGGAAGCCCAGAGAGGGCTGTGGTGCCCTTGAGCCAAGAGAGGGCTGTGGTGCCCTTGGGCTGTGGTGCTCTTGGGTAAGGAAGCCCAGAGAGGGCTGTGGTGCCCTTGGACCCAGAGAGGGCTGTGGTGCTCTTGGGTAAGGAAGCCCGGAGAGGGCTGTGGTGCCCTTGGGCC